GGGCCATTTTGAATGGCTGCTACTGTAGTTCACAGTGATCTGAGTAGATTGAATGAATTTAAACAGTTTTTGTTTATTTTGCTTTAGAAAAGGACAATTCCATTTGGACAGTTACTTATTTTACAATCAACAGACTTTGTTTGTTTTCATTTATCAGTGACTAGGTGGAAACTATAAAAATGTTTGGATCTGGATGCTGGTCATTTACTCTGTGACCTTTTGAACATTTCATACCTACTCTCACTCACTTAATAATATATTTCACAACCAAAAGCCACTGATTTAATGCTAACTTTTTAGATTCTGCAATATTCAATTTCTAGAAACCTGGTTATGTGTCTCTGCTATTTAATTATATATTAGAAGTTGCTTTAGTTTAAGCATGGGTCACAGTATAACTTATTTCAGGACCGCTGATGTACCAGACAAGGGCTAGTAGTATGAGGTATTCAAAAAGTACTGTGGCATTACTACTTGGAGAGATGTACTGTAGATCATTAATGAACATTTAAATAAAAGAACATGAAATGGTTAATTAATTTGTTTGGAGCAGTTCAGGATTATGTTAATGAAAAAGGTTATCTTTGATAATAATTTATGGTGAAGGTAAATAACAGAGATGTTACCATTTGCCATATATTCAGTGATGATGTAGATCGGTTCTGTCTTGGTTATGACGGCATAAAGCCGAACCAGTCTTTCATGTTGGAGCGTCTTCATGATATTGGCTTCTTCCAAAAAAGCCTCCGGTGTCATAGTGCCAGGTTTCAGCGTCTTAACCGCCACTTTGGTTGTGTTGTTGTAGTAAGCTGGTGCCACAAAGCATGGCAAAAAGACACAAGGAACAGAGAAAACTATTAAAGATTTATAAATAAATAAAAAGTTTATTTATTCAGGACCTCCTGTTTTTTTGTTAGGATAACATTTTGATAGTTGGTAAGGAGAAATGCTTAGTTATTCAGTGCTAATCTGCACACTGTGTGTTGTGTCCTTTATTTGGCTGTAAGCTATAGTGAATTCCCAATTTTTGAAATGCAAACAGCTTAAATAAACAGTATGATTAATATAATGATAGTTACTCTGAAAAAAGTTCCAAAGTAAAACGTGTGTATGACTCCAAAGCCTGACATGAATGAGCTTCCTTTCAAAATAAAAGACCAAAGAGCACATAGATTGATGCAGAAAGATGGAAAAAGAGCTGGATAAAAGGTCAAGTTTTCAGCAAAGTGTTGAAGAGATGCAGGAAAAAAAAGGTAAATAAAGATTCAGGTAATAAAGTGCTGTTTTTTTAACCTTTAATTTAGAATAACTGCTGTGTGGATATATGCTTTAAGGCCTTTAATAAAAATAATCAATATAATCATATTGTGATGTTCACAATTGATTATTGATTATTGAACTCATAAAAATTCAAATGTTGCATCATGTAAAATATTTATATCTACTCTACATAGTTATATTGTGGGGTTTTTTGTGCTTATTTGTATGGTATTAATGGGTTCTGCAATAAATTTATATTTCACTTATAATAAATAATTATTAAACATAATAGTGTTTAAACAACCAAATAGGCTTGAAACAAATAATACATTAAAAAATGAAAGTACCAATTAAAACAAGTGAAAGCTAAAGAGGAAGTTTGTTAAAAAGATTTGCCTAATTTCTATTACAAAATCTATATGTATTACAGTAGTGTAGTTAACAGCTAATCTCTACTCTTGCACTTTTGGGCCAAATAGACATTCATAAGTTTCGTTCTTACAAAAAGCAGGAGGAAGCTGAATTCCTCACTTACCGATATCATTGACTAAGCTTCTCATTTAATTTAAGCAACTATGGTCATTTGGTGACATATGTGTCATCAACCCAATTGTGGTAGCGGAAGCTGTAATACTCTAAAGTCAGATCTTGGCAGGAAGAATGTTAAGGAACAGGGCCTTAAGGAACACATCTGCTTGAAAGTTTACATACCCTCCCATTAAAGAAAATGACAATTCATACTAGTAATTCAAATAGTAACAGTAAATAACGAAAAATACTAAATGTTAATTTAGTAAAATAGAATATAATTTTTTATGGCTTTTAGTATTAATTTTTTTTTTAAAACAAACTGTCTCAGACAAATTAAAGCACCTTGCTCATGATGAGCAAGGTGCTCATCATGAGCAAGGTGCTCATGATGCATAACAATGTGCTGTGTCCTAAGCTTTAGGAACTTTGGGATGTATTCATGTCTAAGTTTTTTCATGTAAAAACAAATACAATTTTTTATGCCTTTTGGTTATATTAGATGCTTCAGAACACTCAGATACCCTGAAAAATGCATAGCAAAATCTTCTCCCTTACAGCTTTTTTGAGCAAAGCATTTATCCCTGTTTCTCTGGGAAAAGAAGGACAGCTCAACTTTTAAATACTGGTTCACAAAATTGAAATACACGCTGAATGTAGAGATGGTTGATCACATCCTGAATGAACTGGAGGATTTTGAAATAATGAGTAAACTGGTGATCTCATTAATGGTGATGAAAGACTGTTATCTTACATAAAAGGAGGAGAAGTCTTGATTATACCCATGCAGCACCGAGGTCCAAGCAGTTCATGCTTTTAGCTGTGTTTATGTTTCTCTTTATCTGTGTTTAGCCAATCATTTTACAGGTTTTACAATAAAAGATACTGCTGTGAATCTGAGAATGCCTCATTCACCTCCAGTCTAAAAAACAAAGCTGAGAGATATACAGTCTAATTTAAGGAACTTGACTATAATCAAAAAGTCCATCTGTTTCAGTAACAGAACCAAACAGATTATTAAAGGTACACATATGAATATTTTTGAAGACTTTATTTCTGCCAATTAAGAGGATTTCTTCACCTGTAGTTCACATAAGCCTTAAAATATCAATGCAAATACGTCTTTGGGTTAACTTCCTCTATGAATACACAAGTGCTTTAATATGAAATAATAAGCACAGATGTTAGCATAGACCCATTTCAGAACATTCCCAGAAAAAACTATCAAATAGAAATGAGCACCAACGCAGATTCCTGCAAACTAAAGTTTTACAGCTTTACATACAACTTTGATGTGGTTTAGTGTGTGATCAACAGAAAGCAGCTAATAATTATGAAGTGAAAAGATGATTGAATTAAAGGCCCTATCCTTTCATTTCACACTTAGGTGCATTTTAGTATCGTTCTCTCATACAGAGATAAAACTGCTAGACTTGTGGTTGCAACATGACAAAATGTGTAAATATTCAAGATGTTTTAATATTTGATCAAAGCTGTTCAACAAGTAACAGGAGGAAGAGAATGTATCATTACATGGAGTCAAGCTTATCTGATCTGTTCTGCAGCTTTAAATTTATGTTAAATTAGAGGAAGAAAACAAATGAGTTTATGATAGACAACTTTGTTCCCGAAACACTAAAGTTCAGACCGCAATCCAATGACATTTAGAGACCCTTTGTCCGAAACCTGTTGTTATGATGCTTTAATTGTGGAAGTTCTCTGAGTTATATAAATTATTTCACCGAACTTTTTGCCCTGCTTTGCAATTTCACCCTCAGAATACCGTCTTTGCATGCATTTGCCTTTTAATCTGTAATCTAAGAGACGATATACTCCTTAAAGTGTTGTTTCTCTTGTCTTGTATTTTTGGCAGAGAGACATTTCAATATAATGCTTCTAACGCCAAAAGCAGAACCCCGCCTTTTTTTTTAAATACAGCATCATGCAGGAAGTAAGCACTGAGTGCCCTGTGGATGAGTTCATTGTTTTACTAATATTAGTTTGCCACAGCTCTAACACTCTTTTAGAGTACAAGGCATCGCAATAGGAAGTTCTCTAAAGCCTCAAACTGCTTATCAGTAACCAAATCAAAACTACTTCTCTTTTCTCTCTCTGAAGATCAAAGTTCTGGTGAGAAATGTTGGGTCCTATAGAGTGCTGACAAACGCCTTCACACAACTATTCCAGTGACTGATAAGTAAGAACAGCAAAAATATATGTAGACCTCTCTTCTCACCCTGCTAATTGAGTCTGGTCAATGGACAGTTAAGGTAAATTAATATTTCACATCAGAAGGTCTAATTATTTCGTCATTTCCCTTCTACTTACCCATCCAGACTTCTCCAAACTGTCCCGCTCCCAGTTTCTTCACCATCTTTATGGATTCTTTGGAAATCTCCCAGGCATCCTTGTCCCACGGCCTCTGGGCTTTGGGTTTTACACAAGGACGCTCAAGTTTACGACAAAGACCGTCTGCCTTGTCTGTAGGGTACAAATGGACAATACCTCCTTTTACTGTTTTGTATTTTCTTAATACCCCCTCTCTAAAGAAGGCTGCCCCTGACCAGAAACTAAAAACCCATCAGTCCTTTTGATATAAAACTGAAACAATATGGCATGAGCAAGCTTTGTAGGTAGGAAATGTATCAATATTTGTTTTTCTTTGAGTTTGGATGACTTTCAAACATCATTAACCTGAAAATTGGTTAATAAGAGTTCTTGCAGAATTCAACCTTGTAGGGGAAGGTTCTTTGATTTTGTTTCTACCCCATAATAAATTAACTCATTGTTCAATAACAGCATTTTTTTTAGAGAACTGAAACCTTAAGTAGAGAAAAGAAACAAAATCGCAGGAAACCTGGTGGGAGTAAAATACTTTTTCAGTTCACTATATCTAAAACTACATTATCGAGCAAAAAATGTTTTGTTTTGAATGTAGCATCTAAATCCATGTCCTGCTATTGAAGGTATAGACGTAGATATGCTGGTGAAGATTCTAAGTCATTCAGGTCATAGTCATTCCAAAAAAGTAAAAAAAAACAATACACTGGACTCGGCCTCCAAGCCTGAGGACGCCTCGCCTCCCATTTGGGGAGGCTTCCTGGATGGGAGGCGAGGCGTCTTCAGGCTTGAAAACAGACTCCAGGGATTTTTTTTTTTTTTTTACTTTTTTGGAATAAAGTGGAGGATTTTCATGAGTTTTTGAAAAGACCCGCCCTCTCTACTTTAGAAAAAAATGCACATGTACGACCCTGTTCCCGCTCCGGAGCGGTAACGCCTATTAAACGCATGGAACAGTATGCACAAGCCCAATTCTCCTCATGCAAGTTCTGTTAAAAAGTTGCTGTTTGCATCACTCATACTAGCTCATTTTCCAAAAGAAGATTTGCAATTTGTCTACCATGTCAGACTCACCACCAGTAAGTCTGACATGACGAGCACGTAGGACGGCCTTATGTAAAACTATAAGCAGAATAATTGACAATTAGGAGGACCACTTATTTTGATGATCCACCCGGAAAAAGAACATCCTCAACTATAGCTTTAATTAAACAAGAACCAAAATTGATAAGACAAATATTCTGAAATCCCTTTTTAATAATACGTTTGGGATAAATCTGTTAAAAATGACTCATTGCTGCTTTCAAGCTTTGAAAAGTTATTAGAAGTAGAGTCAAACCACTTTTCCAATCGTTGACTATGCCTCATTTTGATAACTGTAAAACATGTTATTCTCTGAGATGTTCTAATTCTGTTGATAGACAGTGACCTCACTTAGCTGTAATTTCAAGCCTTTTCCCTCAGATTCCCCCGATCAATACTTACTGTGGTAATGTTTGATCATGCTGCCGATGTCAGGGAAGGAAATTTTGGGAGAGATGTAAAAGCCGCCATTATCCAGCTTCCTAATTTTATAATGCTTTACTGATTCCATTCCCTGGACATCAACATCTCTTATAGACAGAGAGAAATTCCCTGTGGGGGAAAAAACAAATTTTAGATTGTGAAACGCTCACGCTGAAAGTAAAGGAATTTTGTGAGAGAGCTGTTGTACCTTTTGATGTTTCGCTTTCCCTGATTAGATAAGAGCCTGCTCTGTTTGCTGGTGCCAACAGCTGCCTCTCTGCATCCTTCCTCGTAATGTCTTTGAAAAACCACCTGTAACGATTCAGCAAAGTTTTTACTGCGTGATGCAGAGAAGGAACACAGCTGAGTTATGAAAATAACTGTTACGATCCTCCTACAGCATTAAACTCACTCTTCTGTTTCCATGGTGTCAACTTGAGCCACATAATTGGACGGGATGAACCCTTGTTTGCCGGTTGTTAGAGACTTTGCTTTCCACCAATCTCCAAGTCTGTAAATTAACATGAAAATGTTTTCTTACATTCATGCCTTTAGGGCAGATTTTCACATAGACAAAATTGGCCTATTGCTCTTAACCCTTTGAAGCCTAAACCATGAAATAATTAATTGAACATTTTAGTTTTTCAAAATTAGAATGTCATTGAAACTTATGAAAATTTTATTATAAGTTAAATTAGACAATTTGTTGCATCAAATTTGATACATGAGGCATTTCTTTATTATATTTTATATTTTTTTCTGTTCACTACATTTGTCTGATTGTTTAAATCAGTGTTTCAAGAACAAAAAACTTCACACCGATGATGTAGAAGGTTTAAAAAGTGTCAAATATGATACACTTGGCTTTAATTAAACATATTTTTGATAATATTTCTACCAAAAAGATGAATGTTGCTTCACCTTAAAAAGGGAAGCACCAGCTGACAGATATCATATCCACCTGCCAGGGTTGGTGCAGCCTGAGAGCAGCATGAGCACAGATAGTTTCTTTATCACCTGTACCCAAAATGTATTTGCATGTCTGGTTTATGGCAGATGGGCGCTCCCATGGGTGTTATACAGTGCAAGCTTTACACCATATTCCAGCCACACAACACTAGCGGTTTTTGACATGGAAGATTGATTTCTATTTCATAGCTTTTAATCTGGTACCTGCTTATCCAAACAGCCATGCTTATTAGAGGACTGACAGGAGGAACAGGGGTAGTGAGGGAGAACATGCAACTCCCAGCTGTTTCTATATTTTTAACTGCATTGCCCAACTAAAAAAAGTACTCTGGATAAACTTGATTCAATTGTCACCACTTGAAGCAGTTAATTTAAAGGTATGGTGGAGGATTTTCATGAAAAAAAAAACAAAAAAACTCCCTCTTCACTTAAAAAAAGCACATGCAAAACCCTGTACCCACTCCCGAGAGGGAACGCCTGTTACATGTGTAGGAGAGCAGGCACAGGCCCATTTCTCCTTGTGCACGCTCTGTTTAAAAGTTGCTGTTTGCATCGCTCATACAAGCTCACTTTCCAAAACAAGATTTGCAATTTTTCCACTATGTCAGACTCACCACCGGTAAGTAGAAACAGGGATGAGCACGTAGGACGGCCTTACGTAAACATATCACCAGAATGATTGACAATTAGTAGCACCACTTATTTTGATGATCCACCCAGAAAAATAACATCCCCCACTATACCTTTAAGTTGGAGCAGAATTTTATTTTTAGATAGTGTTCTTTTTACATTCAACAAAAATAATTTCCAAAGAAATAATTTCAAGAGCTCAAATCTTTGGTTATTTTTGTGAAAGCACCGCACTACAATGTCTGATCATGGTCACTTTGACTATTATCCTGACAAAATGTGTCAATGACTAGTAACATTTTCTTGTGCATAATAAGACAACATTAAAAATTAGGCTTCTTACTCTTCCAGGATTTTCATCTTTTCTCCTTTCTTGAATCCTAAGTCATTGCTATGCAAAGCTTCATAAGGATAAAGGGCGACCACCACTTTACCAGCTCCTTCTTTCTCTAAAACAGAAAGCACAGATGTCGACATGGTAAATATGTTTATCTACAATCATATAAAAGGTATATAGTAAAGAGTCTATGATAGTAAATGTAAACACAAGGAAGTCTATCTACTTTTTCTGAATTTTTATGAAAAAAATGGATTCCCTTCTTTGTTGTCAGTAGCTTCAATAAACCTGACTATAGATTATCAATGTTATCCTTCTCTAAAGGAAACTGTTAAATACGTCTCATCATTATCTTTTGCATTATGCAACTAAATTTGAAAATACAATTGCAATTCTTTAACCAGAGAAGGAAACAAAAGAAAGTAAGTACCGTTCATCTGGAACCTTTGACCAGGTAACAGGGTATTACCCTGTAAGAGAAAGCAAAACAGGATTTTTCTGATTAGTTTTTAATTGTTTTGACGCAGCTGTGAAATATTGTTTAACCACATTACTGATGTGTTCATTTAATTTTTTCAGACATCGTTTCAGAAAAGGAATTTCTAAATCCTTAGGAACTATCATTGTCAACTTACTGCTAACACTGGAACACGTATGCTCTATATTTAAAACTGAGGCTTCACTTTTTACCAACTTCTTTTCTAAATAGGACACATCCAAAATATTTCTTTTGTTTTTTTTTCAGTTGTTTGGACCTCAAAAAAAAAATCAGATTTTCTTCTTGGCTTGCTTTCTACTCACCTTGTTGTCTCGTGTGTTGAAGGTGGGATCCCTGACATAACGCGATGGATCAGATTGTGCAGCTGACTGTTTGATTTTCCCGTCCATACCACTCGCCATACCTCCACTGAGCGTTGATTTCAGACAGCCCATCCTGCCTACCAGGGGAAGTAAGAAGAGAGAACAGATGGTTAGATTGTTGCATATTAGCGATTGAAAAAAATTAAATAAATAGAAGAAGGCTTTCTAACAAGCGTCTGTGGCTTTTAGAAATGCACATCTGCATCCGCTTGCAACATTACGCACTACCACACACACACACGCACGGTTAACAAAGGGTGGGCAAGGAATTGGCCCTCTTAAATGCTGGTTCAGGGATCCATCAGTCACGTCCCATCTACCATCCGATGGGCTGCAGGGGCTATACGCTGGGTCGCTTCTTACCTTGGTTACCTTATAGGGTGATATCTCGTACCTGTCTGCCTTTGCATGCTACGCCCATCTGGAGCTCTAACAACTGCACACATCCTGGTAACCAACCCACTTTAATACTACCACAAAACACAAACAACCTATTTCTACTTAAATGTTCACCAACACCCAAACCCCCAACCCCCAATACGCACACATTTAGGTTCCCCTTTCTTTTCACTGACTTCCTTAATTTTTTATTACGTTTTATGACTTAATCAACACCCAGCACACACTTAGCCCTAAATGTAATTGAACATAGCCTGACTATTTTGATGCTTTATTTAGTCTGAGATTAAAACAATCAATTACGCTATTAGGTTTCCATCTGAAGTTATCCTTTTTAGTGAGCAAAGCTGTCTTGATTCATCAAGGCATCTGGCTTCTTCTCTATATAGTATGAAATGCAGCGACAATCGCTTTGGCTTTTTAGCTCTCTGCACATGGAAATATTTAACAGAAATATTGATGTGATTTAGCCTTCTTTGAGGTTTTGGTGTGTTTCATAATTGAATATAATATAATTGACCATTATCGATCTCACATTGGAGAAATTTACCTCTTCATTTACCGGTAACTCATCCCCTTGGGGAGCAGTGGGCTGCCATCGTGGGGCGCCCGGGGAGCAATAGGGGGTTAAGGGTCTTGCTCAGAGAGCCAGAGTTGCAGTCTGTGGGAGTGGGGCTCGAATTCAGAACTTCGGGATTTGCCCTAACCACTAGGCCGCCACTTCAATTCAATTCAGTTTATTTGTATAGCGCCAATTCACAACGAGTCATTTCTAGGCACTTTACAGTTCACCAGATCATCCAGTCAAATTGATTCAAAGTTTTCTATCTAAGGAAAACCAGTTGATTGCATCAACTCATTGACTTGAAGGCAATCCTTCACACTAAGCATGCTTGTAGCGACAGTGGAGAGGAAAACTCCCTTTTAACAGGAAGAAACCTCCAGCAGAACCAGGCTCAGTGTAAGCAGCCATCTGCCGAGGCCGTCTGGGGTTCAGGGAGACAGAAGCAGAGATACAAAAAGCAACTTTAAATGGCGGCCCCTTCCAGGAAACACACAGCCAGGCAGTAGAGCTCTGAGCCAACTCCCATGTCAGAGGCTAAATAATCTTGTGCAGGTTTATTTGACCTTTCCCCTTGCTCATTATTGTGATTGTTTGGTGCTATTTGTTTAGTTCAATTGTCAGAGCTTATTACCTGCTTATATTTGTTTATTAGGTTATAACTCAAACTTTTTAGCTGGTGGGTTATTCCTGTTAGGTCTCTGTCTGTTTTCTGTTTCCATTCACCTCTATTATCATCTATTGTCACCACATGAAAATTTTCATAAAGCTTACCCACCTCTAACCTTATTGTTTTCATGCAGTCCTCCACTTCCGCTTGGAATATTTAATACCAATCAGTTCTCTTTGCTGTTTGCCACAAAAATGCTTCTTTTTCACGGGACAGATTTTCTAATGTCTGCTCTCTCCGAGCATGCAAATTTTTATATTTTAAAATACAATTTGCAAATGCTGTTTGTTCTAAAGCTTGCTTGGACACTGTTGAAGAAAAAAAAAAGTCAACTTAGGAATTTAAACTCTTCCAGCTGTGTTGTTTTACATTAATCATCCATCTGAAACCTTTACTTCTTGCAATCAACATAGAGATAGAGATTAAATTCTGTTTTAATAAGCACCTTTCTTTTATTTTAAGAAAGTAGCATTAGGGAACAGAGAAACCCAATGTGGATGATGCTCTCCTCAAATGAGACCAGTGTTTGTCCCATGCAGGGAAATATAAGTGTACAGCTAACAATGGGCACTACCCTGAAAACACCTTTGCTGCAGTGAAACATTGATATATAGGAACTTGATCATACAACACTGAATACCAAGGATAATAATAGAAAAAAAAAAAAAAATGTATGTACATGAACGTGGCTTTTTTCCCCCAGCTATTCAAATGTCATATTTGAGTTGATAGTCTCTCCATGATCTTTGCGTAACTCGACCTGCATTTTATTATTTATCTTTTGTAATGCGGTTTGTTTTATTTAAATGTATGGAGGGTTCTTATATAGTTAATTATTTTGTTTTCTGCTAATCGTTATCACTGACAATTATCTGTTTTATTTCCTTACTCCCTTGCAGTACAAGACCATAAAGACAATAAATACTTTTTTATAACGTTATGCTTAATGGCTGACATTCCCACTGAAAATGTCCAAGTGATAAAGTTTGGAATAAACGTTCCAGTAAGGCATGTAATGAGGAAGAGAGATGTAAGCGTTTTTTCTCTTGTTATCAACATCTATCCTAACGCTGTACATGTTCAGCAAAAATAGATATTATAACGCCTCCGTCCTTTATCCTAAACTCCTGCTTATTTCTAAAGTATGATAACCAATGTAAACAGTCAAAAAGAGTAAGCCTTATGTAAATTTTACAGAGATATAATGTGAATTTATTCTGCACATGCTGAATGTTTATGAATTTATCACATGATGATATAACAGATGGTAGAAAGGTGAAGGTAATGGCCCTACCAGCTAAATCTGACCCAAAGATCATCATAATTTCCCTGAACAGGGCTGCATACAAGAGATTATTCAGGTAATTTGAGAGATTTGACAAACTTTTCGAAGGTAAAGAGAGGAAATATAAGAAATTCATGATGTCAGCTGCTGAAAGACTCCTACCAAAGAAAACTTGGATATGAGCAACTGTACAGAGCTTGTGACCATAGATCCTGTATTTAAATGATTGTTGAAATGCTCTTTTATTTCCTAAATGTCAAAAACAACATAGTTATGCAAACACAAGGTGTTAACTTTGAATAAAATCGTTGTCTCTGATGCACAAAGTCAAATCAACAGTCTAATCTTTCCATAAATCTAACTTTACGCCAGGAGCTTCAAAACTAAAACTGATCACAGTTGAAACGAAAGAGCAACATGGGAACTTACAAACTTCTGCTTTTCAGGTGTTTGAAGTTCTACATTTCTTGCCATGTCGCTATGAGTCAAACTCTGACTAAAGACTGAATAAAAAAAAAACTAAAATGCTTGAGAATTTAGGTCAAAATATGTCAAAATTTACTCGTCAACCGCAATGTTCATTTTCAACCAAAAAAACCCCAGTGTGTATTTTTAGATTTTGTCTTTTTTGTTCTTCCGTTATCAAACACAACACTTTGTCAGGTATGTTTTAGAAAAACCGGACCTCTAATAACAGAGGAACATAAAAGAGTATACTTTATTTTCATTACTTTGTTATTTTCCCTTCAGCTCTAATCAAATGTAGCTGCTTCAGGTGAAGCAGATTCTGCTCAGTAAACAGGAGCGAGACCGTCCAAGATACAGCTACTTTTTGTCATGTTAATGGTTTATGTATTTTAGATTTGATTAATTTAAATTTGATATTTTCTTCCTACAGTGTCTGGACTGCTCCAGTCAAATAATTTCAGAGAAATGGAACATTTGCTGCAGCAGTTTTCTCTGCTTTAGTTTCATGGATGTGGTCTTTGATTAAAATATTTCTGCTAACCAGAATCATGGCCACAACCTACCAGCAGCGTTGTTACATTTAGTAGCATTTATACGTGTCAAACTGGACACAGCTAGTTGCCGGTAAACATGACAACAAATGACCACACAATCCAAACCAAAACCACCTAAACTAAAGGTTTCCTGTTCTCACATATGAGAAAGGACTGTTCTCTTTTATCATGGTCTTTCTGTATGCCGGAAAAACTAGCACATGAGGTCATTAAGTTATAAAATTTAATTAAGACTGAAGCGTTTGATAGAAGGAAATAACCTGCAGTATTTTTATTTTTTTTATGTCTGTATAGGCAAATATCTATTGATAATAAGGGAATGAGATAAGCATGTCCTTGGAGAAGAAGATCTTAAATCTAGGAAAAGCTCCTTCAGGGAAAATGTGCTATTAAGGAAGCAGTTATATGATGAAAATCTGTCTAGACTTAAGGAATTAAAAAATAATGTGTTGTAGGAGCAGAAGTCACAAAAATGGTTCTCAGTCATCTAGGTCATAGTCATTCGAAAAAGGTAAAAAAAAAAAAAAAGAAACAAACAAACAAAGTCTAATGGTTTTTATGTTCGCTGTACTGATAGCTGAAATAATTGCTCACTTCACTCACCTGCCTAACCCTCCCTGGTTACTAATTATCATTCATCTTATCCACCTGCTCCTGCTGCTTCATGTACAGCTTAGCCCAGCTATCGGGGCCAGATCTTTGTTTGTTTGTTTGAGTTTTTAGTTTGAGATCATAGTTGATTTCCATGGTTCATGTGCTCGTTTTTGGAGGCCGGTGGTTTGAGAAGGTTTTTTTGTCTTGGTGTTTCCTGCTCATGTCCTGGCTCTTATCCAATGAGCGTGCCCTGTTCCTGTTTTGGCTCAAAGGAGGGCGCTAGCTTAAAGTTCCATAGTTTTCCTGATGTCACGTTGTCCTGCCTCTCAACTACTGAGCCTGCCTGTTTGGATCTGAGTGTTTCTGACTGACCTCGCTGTTGGACTCATGGAAAACTGAACCTGCCTGAACGGTCTGTGAAACCCTGGATCTGTCTGTTCCTGTTTGGATCAAAACCCCTGGTCAGGCTACGGAATCCTGGATCTCAGAACGGTCCTGTTCTGAACTGTTCCCCTGACCTGGATCAGATTCCTGCCTGTTCACTG